CCCTGTCAAGCCCACCCCATAACACCCTCGTCAAGCACCACCCCATAACACCCTCGTCAAGCCCCTCCCACTACAACACCCCCGTCAAGCCCCTCGCACTACAACACCCCCGTCAAGCCCCTCCCACTACAAACAACCCCGTCAAGCCCCCCCCACTACAACACCCCCGTCAAAGCCCTCCACTACAACACCCCCGTCAAGCCCCTCCCACTACAACACCCCCGTCAAGCCCACCCCACTACTACACCCCCGTCAAGCCCCCCCCCCACTACAGTAATCCCCATCAAGCCCCACACCACGACAATACCCCCGTCAAGCCCACCCCACTACTACACCCCCGTCAAGCCCCCCCCCCACTACAGTACCCCCATCAAGCCCCACACCACGACAACACCCCCGTCAAGCCCCCCCCCCACAACAGTACCCCCATCAAGCCCCACACCACGACAAACACCCCGTCAAGGCCCCCCCCTCACTACAGTACCCCCATCAAGCCCCACACCACGACAACACCCCCGTCAAGCCCCACACCACTACAACACCCCCGTCAGGCGCCGCACCACCACAACACCCCCGTCAAGCCCCACACCACGACAACACCCCCGTCAAGCGCCGCACCACTACAACACCCCCGTCAAGCCCCACACCCCTACAACCACCCCCCGTCAAGCGCCCGCACCACGACAACAACCCCGTCAAGCGCCGCACCACGACAACACCCCCCATCAAGCCCCACACCCCTACAAAACCCCCGTCAAGCGCCGCACCACACAACACCCCCGTCAAGCGCCGCACCACGACAACACCCCGTCAAGCCCCACACCCCTACAACACCCCCGTCAAGCGCCGCACCACGACAACACCCCCGTCAAGCGCCGCACCACGACAACACCCCCCGTCAAGCGCCGCCCGACAACACCCCCGTCAAGCGCCGCACCACGACAACAACCCCCGTCAAGCGCCGCACCACGACAACACCCCCCGTCAAGCGCCGCACCACGACACCAACACCCCCCGTTCAAGCGCCGCAGCCCACGACAACACCCCCCGTCAAGCGCCGCACCGACAACACCCCCGTCAAGCGCCGCACCACGACAACACCCCCGTCAAGCGCCGCACCACGACAACACCCCGTCAACACCCCCGTCAAGCGCCGCACCACGACAACACCCCGTCAAGCGCCGCACCACGACAAACCCCGTCAAGCGCGCACCACGACAACACCCCCGTCAAGCGCCGCACCACGACAACACCCCCGTCAAGCGCCGCACCACGACAACACCCCGTCAAGCGCCGCACCACGACAACACCCCGTCAAGCGCCGCACCACGCACCCCCGTCAGCGCCGCACACGACACCCCCGTCAAGCGCCGCACCACGACAACACCCCCGTCAAGCGCCGCACCACGACAACAACCCCCCCCCGTCAAGCGCCGCACCACGACAACACCCCCGTCAAGCGCCGCACCACGACAACACCCCCGTCAAGCGCCGCACCACGACAACACCCCCCGTCAAGCGCCGCACCACGACAACACCCCCGTCAAGCGCCGCACCACGACAACACCCCCGTCAAGCGCCGCACCACGACAACAACCCCCGTCAAGCCGCACCCGCACGACAAACCCCCAACGCACCACGACCCCCGTCAAGCGCCGCACCTGACAACAACCCCCGTCAAGCACCGCACCACGACAACACCCCCGTCAAGCGCACCCGCACCACTACAACACCCCCCGTCAAGCGCCGCACCACGACAACACCCCCGTCAAGCGCCGCACCACGACAACACCCCCGTCAAGCGCCCCACACCACTACAACACCCCCCGTCAAGCGCCGCACCACGACAACACCCCCCGTCAAGCCCCGCACCCACTACAACACCCCCCGTCAAGCGCCGCACCACTACAACACCCCCGTCAAGCGCCGCACCACTACAACACCCCCGTCAAGCGCCACACCACTACAACACCCCCCGTCAAGCGCCGCACCACTACAACACCCCCCGTCAAGCGCCGCACCACTACAACACCCCCCGTCAAGCGCCGCACCACTACAACACCCCCGTCAAGCACCGCACCACTACAACACCCCCGTCAAGCGCCGCACCACTACAACACCCCCCGTCAAGCGCCGCACCACGACAACACCCCCGTCAAGCGCCGCACCACGACAACAAACCCCGTCAAGCGCCGCACCACGACAACACCCCGTCAAGCGCCGCACCACGACAACAACCCCCGTCAAGCGCCACACCACTACAACACCCCCGTCAAGCGCCGCACCACTACAACACCCCCGTCAAGCGCCGCACCACGACAACACCCCCGTCAAGCGCCGCACCCACGACCAACCCCGTCAAGCGCCGCACCACTACAACACCCCCGTCAAGCGCCGCACCACGACAACACCCCCGTCAAGCGCCGCACCACTACAACACCCCCGTCAAGCCCCACACCACTACAACACCCCCGTCAAGCGCCGCACCACTACAACACCCCCGTCAAGCGCCGCACCACGACAACACCCCCGTCAAGCGCCGCACCACTACACACCCCCCGTCAAGCGCCGCACCACTACAACACCCCCCGTCAAGCGCCGCACCACTACAACATCCCCCGTCAAGCGCCGCACCACGACAACACACCCCCGTCAAGCGCCGCACCACTACAACACCCCCCGTCAAGCGCCGCACCACGACAACACCCCCCGTCAAGCGCCGCACCACTACAAACACCCCCGTCAAGCGCCACACCACTACAACAACACCCCGTCAAGCGCCGCACCACGACAACACCCCCCGTCAAGCGCCGCACCACTACAACACCCCCCGTCAAGCGCCGCACCACTACAACACCCCCGTCAAGCGCCACACCTGGGGTGACGGGGGAAGGACTTGTGGACCACGGGAAGAGATCTCTGACTTACACTAAATTCGAGACACACACCACCTCCTTGTCAATAAATTTTCTTGACTGCTTCATGCTGCTGCTGCTTCTGCTTCTTGCTGCTGTTTTGCTGCTGTTGTTGCTGCTTCTTGCTGCTGTTCTGCTTCTTGCTTTTGCTTCTTGTTGCTTCTTGCTGCTGCTGCTTCTGCTGCTTCTTGCTGCTGCTGCTGTTGTCAGCTGGAGGGCCCCTCGTCCCCCCTCTAGCTTGCCCCAGCCTAAATTTTGTGTTATTCTACTTTTGTTGCTGCTGGTTTTGGTGCTGCTGGTGTTGTTGGTGCAGCTGTTGGTGCTTCTGGTGTTGTTGGTGCAGCTGTTGGTGCTTCTGGTGGTGTTGGTGCAGCTGTTGGTGCTTCTGGTGTTGTTGGTGCTGCTGCTGCTGGTGTGTTGGTGCAGCTGCTGGTGTTTGTTGGTGCTGCTGGTGTTGTGGTGTTGGTGTTGTTGGTGCTGCTGGTGTTGTTGGTGCTGCTGGTGTTGTTGGTGCTGCTGGTGTTGTTGTGGTGCTGCTGGTGTTGTTGGTGCTGCTGGTGTGTTGGTGCTGCTGGTGTTGTTGGTGCTGCTGGTGTTGTTGGTGCTGCTTCTGGTGTTGTTGGTGCTGCTGCTACTTTGCTGCCGTAATGTCATTTCGTTCCGTGAAACCTGACATATTACGCTTTAATACTCTTGTGTACCAGTGTCCACTCCACCCCCACGCCCTCCCCCCCCCCATCACCCCGACTCTCCCTCCCTCTCTGTTACACCCTCTATGGGTCCTGAGGGCCCCCTGAGACTTCCTGAGGGGCACCCTGAGACTTCTTGAGGGCTCCCTGAGACTTCTTGAGGCCCCCTAAGGGGCCCTCAGGGGCCCTCGAGGCCCCCTGAGGCATGTGTTCTTCAGCTGTGGTTTCTGTGTGAACCAAACGTAAAGTATGCCCACAAACATGTTTACTTTGTCATCATAAAATCCGTCTAAGGAAGCTTCCTGTTAACAACCGTCCCACAACAGACGGCTCGCGCCCACAAGACGCCGTTCGTCTCGTCCTTAAGACGAGTGCATCCCGGGGCGTCGCGGGAGACGGACTAATGCCACGTCTATGCCTTCCGCTCTCCTCAAGATCACAAGATAACCTCCGCGGGAAACCTTTCGTACACACGGGCAGGAATGTGTGTGTGTTTGTGTGTGTGTGTACGAAATGTCAACCGCTGCGAGGTAATGTTTGTGTCCGGGTAAACGCTTGCGAGGATGATAACTGTGCTGCATGATAGTGTCGCTGACACGGGTGTAGGGATGTGGGACACGAACCTGAGGGGGCCAGATTCACGAAGCAGTTACGCGCAGCACTTGCGAACCTGTACATCTTTTCTCAATCTTTGGCGGCTTTGTTTACAATTATTAAACAGTTAATGAGCTCCGAAGCACCAGGAGGCTGTTTATAACAATAACAACAGTTGATTGGCAAGTTTTCATGGCTGTAAACTGTTCAATAAATGTAACCAAAGCCGTCAAAGATTGAGGAAAGATGTAAGTGCTTGCGTAACTGTTTCGTGAATCTAGCCCCCTGGAGCTCGGTGATAAGGTTGACATCCTGAGGGTGGGGGGGGGGGGGGAGTTGTGAGACTCTTCAGTGACTATGAAGAGCCTGGTGCTGAAGCAAGCAAGGCAGCCAAGAAACTTGCAGTATTATGGGGGCGTCTCTTACCTTCTCGAGAGCAGTGGTTGCAACCGTCCGTGCAGCGCAAGATTGCTCCCATCTTTTGTCCAACCACTTGGGCTGGACGGTAGAGCGACGGTCTAGCTTCATGCAGGTCGGGGTTCAATCCCCAACCGTCCAAGTGGTTGGGCACCATTCCCCCCCCCCCCCTCCGTCCCATCCCATATCCTTATCCTGACCCCTTCCAAGTGCTATATAGTCGTAATGGCTTGGCGCTTTCCCCCTTGGAACCTTACCTTGCTTTCATCTTGATTCTTTGTTGTTGTCCTGAACGGTCTGTCTTCCTTTTCTTAATTCGACTTTGCATAAGATTGAGAACCACGGAGAAGACTTCTCTCGTTCTCATGGTTGAAGTTCTCATACTTCAGAGCTTTCAACGCTGGAGAGGTGTCAGGTTGGCTGACTGAAGATGATTAAGCCACCACACGAGGTGGCATGGGCATGAGTAGCCCGTAGGTGGTAGATGTTTGGAGTGAATGTGCTCTAGAGTGATGTAACATCTTGAAGGGCCTCTGGGCGTGGATGTCAGGCGACCTTGGCTTTCTTTATAAGGCTAATTTTTCCCGTATTAGTCAGCTGGCCCACCTCCGTCAACAATCGCAACTCAGCACCCACAAAACGAAGGCACTCAGCCATCAGCAGCCTCCTGTTGGCTCTGCCATTCTCACACAACATCACTCCATCAGCGATCATGTATGTACCGGCCTACACATTTTTAGTGTATTCTTTCAGCACGTCGACACTGTTGATGTCAAGTCGACCGACCATGTAAAGTCCATGTGTACCGGACACAGTTGACTTCAGCTTGATCTGTGCACAATATTTGGTGAACTTGGCAATAATCAAAGTTTTATACCCAACGGAAAACATTTCTAAGCTGCGAGAGATAAAAGAGCGAGGGATCGGCCACCCTTGAGAAGTTTGGCGCCCTGACACGGCACTTCTTAAGTCAGGGAAGAGAGGTGAAGGATGCATCCCTTTTACTGCCTCTTCTCCCCACTACCCTACCCCACCCTCCCCCCCCCCCAGCCCCTCCCCAGCCCCTCCCCAGCCCTTTCCCAGCCATCCCTCGCCCGAGACCACAATGCCATTATCACTTCCAGACATGAATGTGAAAGAGTATAGACCTCACCACCATACCACTGCAGGAAGATGGAGGAGGAGGCAGTGGAGGAGGAGAAGGAATAAGAGGAAGACGAGGAGAAGGTAGAAACGAGGCAGCAGGAGGCAGTGACGTAGCCCATTAACACCTGGGTGGTAACGACACCCCCGCCCCCCCTCCGCCTACCAGACTCGTGACTAATGGTAGAGGAACAAGAACGGGTCTGGCGGAGACGAGGGTGACAAGGAGAGATGGTGCAGGAGTCTGTTGCTGTGTGTGGCTGCTGGTGCTGTGTGTGTGGCTGCTGGCCTGGTGCTGTGTGTGTGGCTGCTGGTGCTGTGTGTGTGGCTGCTGATGCTGTGTGTGTGGCTGCTGGCCTGGTGCTGTGTGTGTGGCTGCTGGTGCTGTGTGTGTGGCTGCTGGTGCTGTGTGTGTGGCTGCTGGCCCCTGTGTGTGTGTGGCTGCTGGCCCCTGTGTGTGTGTGCTGCTGCCCCTGTGTGTGTGTGTGGCTGCCCCTGTGTGTGTGTGTGGCTGCTGGCCCCTGTGTGTGTGTGTGGCTGCTGGCCCCTGTGTGTGTGTGGCTGCTGGCCCCTGTGTGTGTGTGTGGCTGCTGGCCCCTGTGTGTGTGTGTGGCTGCTGGCCCCTGTGTGTGTGTGTGGCTGCTGGCCCCTGTGTGTGTGTGTGG